CAATCCACTCACCTCAGCCTCCCAAAGGCGCGGGATTACAGACTGAGTCACCGAGCCCGGCTCAGTTTTTTTTTTTAAAAGCAGGATTTATTAAGAGGACAGAAAAGCTCCCACAGTGAAAGGGGAACTGAGGGGGTTACCCTACCTCCAGTTTTAAATCTACTGCTAAATTGCTGTGTGACTTTAAGTAAGTTACTTGCCCACCCTGGAACTTTAGTTTTCTCGTCAAGAAAAATAGAAATACTCCCTGTTCTGCCCTCCTCTGGGGGGTTGTTGTAAGCAACCAACCAGGCAATCAGAGAGGGTGTTTGGGGACAATAAAGGGCTCAACCAATGTTTGCAAATTATCTTCATCTCATTTTGGACCCCCAAATAATTTGGGAGATTTGACTGTTGATAATGATGATGATAAGAATTTCTGTGAATTTCCTGGCCAGTCCTACCCCTCGAGGCCAGGCTGGGTGCCCAATCATGGTAATGATCGTTATGAACTGGAGAGTCAGCTATGGCCCAGACCCTGGATTGATGCTATGAATACTTCTATTTTGTAAATAAGGAAACAGGAGCAAGGCCAGGAGCAGTGTCACGCCTGTGATCCTCATGCTTTGGGAGGCCAAAGTGAGAGGAGGATTGCTTTAGCCCATGTACTGCGAGGCTGCAGTGAGCTAAGATTGCTCTAATGCATTCCAGCCTGGGAGACAGCAAGACCCTGTCAAAAAGAAAAGAAAAGAAAGGAGCAGAGACTCAGGCCGTTTAAGGAATTCATCCCCACGCACACAGCCAGGAGTCCAGTTGTGGCCGGCTGGAAGCCCAGCCCCCTTCCCACCAGGCACATGCCCCTGGGAGATGACCCCCCCACCAGGCGCCCAAGAACGGGCTAAAAGCAACCGTGTGCCCTCCTGTGTGTGATCTCTGACCTCCCTCCCCACACCCCCCAGCCCGCCTGGGCAGAGTGTCCCCGTGTCCGCCCGCCTTCCCCGCTCTGACCCTGGCGCCTGCAGGTGCGGCTGGTGATTGCCGAGAAGGGCCTGGCGTGTGAGGAGCGGGACGTGAGCCTGCCACAGAGCGAGCACAAGGAGCCCTGGTTCATGCGGCTCAACCTGGGCGAGGAGGTGCCCGTCATCATCCACCGTGACAACATCATCAGCGACTACGACCAGATCATCGACTACGTGGAGCGCACCTTCACGGGAGGTACGGCTGCACCCCTCCCCGGACCCCGCCGGCGGGCAGGGGCCCCAGCCCTCGGGAAGCCTGGGAAAGTCCATGGGGCCCTGGGCAAGGCCCAACCTCCCCCAGAGGAGCCCAGGGCTGCAGGCAGGGCTCCGTTGCCCTCTGGAGCCACAGTGCCACAGGCACGGTCAGAGGGCCCCAGGGATCCCAGAGGACCACCCTCTCCAGTACTCTAGGGCCAGCCCAGACATTCCCTAGAGCACTGGGGCTAAAGCCTCCTTTCCCAAGAAACTCTGGAGTCACAGGCAGGTCCAGACCTGCGGGAGCCCCTTAGACATGAGCAGGTCTCCACAGGCAGGACCCAGACCTCCTGGGTGTCCCAGGGCAAGGGCAGAGCCCAGCCTCCTCAGGGCCATGGATTCCCCCCAGAAACCCACAGACAGGGTGCTAGGCATTCCAGACCCCCACAGACCCAGACAGGGCCCAGGCACCCCAGAATCTCATAGACTCAGGCAGAGCCCAGGTATCCCAGAAGCCCACAGACCCAGGACTCAGGTAGGGCCCAGACACGCAGAGCCACTCAGACCCAGGCAGGACCCAAACACCCCAGAGCTCCACAGACCCAGGTAGGAACCAGACATCTCTGAGCCCCACAGACTCAGGTGGGGCCCAGATATCCCAGAGTCCCACAGACCCAGGCAGGGCCCAGATACCCCAGGGCCCCAAGATACCAGTAGGACCCAAATACCCCAGAACCCCACAGTCCCAGGCAGGGCCCAGATACCCCAGAGCCTACAGACCCAGTCAGGGCCCAGACCCCCCAGGGCCCCACAGACCCAGGCATGGCCCAGACTCCCCAGGGCCCCACAAACACCAGCGGGGCCCAGACACCCCAGAGTCCCACAGACACAGGCAGCCCACATACTCCAGAACCCCACAGACCCAGGCAGGGCTCAGATACCCAGAAACCCCTAGATAGGAATGAGCCCAGACACCCCAGGAACCTGCAGACCCCAGACACCCCAGGACCCACTGAACTCTGTCCTCTCCCTCCCATAGGAATTCCTCGGGCTCAGGCACTCACTGCCCACCCTGAGGCTCTGACTTTCTCAAGAGTGGACAGGGCCCAGACGTGTATGGTCTTAGAGAACGGGAATGAGCTGCCGATGTTTAAGAGTCAAGGAGACTTAACTGTTGGTTATCCCAGTTGCCGGGGACTCTTGAAACCCCCAACACTGGGCCCAGACCCCTCCTAGCAACACATCTGCCCCCTCAGGGGGACAGCTTGGCAGAGGAGAGGCAGGCAGTGACCACTAAGATCCCTGTCACCAGCAGTCGAGCTCCAGGAATGCCAGGGACTGCGGGGCTGAGACATCCCGGGGTTTAGGGATTCTGGGGGCAGGGGCCGAGGCAGGGCCCTCTGCAGCCTGGCCCAGCCCTGGTGGTGCCCGCAGAGCACGTGGTGGCCCTGATGCCCGAGGCGGGCAGCCCACAACACGCGCGGGTGCTGCAGTACCGAGAGCTGCTGGACGCGCTGCCCATGGACGCCTACACGCACGGCTGCATCTTGCACCCCGAGCTCACCACTGACTCCATGATCCCCAAGTACGCCACGGCCGAGATCCGCAGTGAGTGCCGGGTGCCCAGAGCCCTTTTGCGAGCCTCTTCCTTGCCCCCTCCTCCCTTTCCAGGGAGTCCTCTCTCAGGCACGTGTCTCCCCACTCCTGGACCTCTCTGACCGGGGCTTCCCTTCTTCCTCGTCTCCCCCTCTCGCCTTCTAGGTCCTGCTTCTCTGTGTGCCTGAGGTGTGTCTCTCCCTCTGCTGATCTCTCTGTCTACCAGCTACCTCCGGCTTTATCTTCTTGTCCCTCTCTCTGTCTCTCTGTCTCTCTCTACTCTCTCTCTCTCTCTCTCTCTCTCTCTCTCTCTCTCTCTCTCTCTGCTGTTTCTCTTTCTAGTCCTCTGTCTCTGTCTCTCTCTCTCTCTCTCTCTCTCTGTTGCTCTCTCTTTCCTTTTGTCTCTGTCTCTATCTCTCTGTCCTTCTGCTCTCTGTCTCTCTCTCTGTCTCTTTCTCTGTCCCTCTGACGGTCTCTCCTCTGTCTGTCTTTCTCTGTCACTTGCTCTCTTTTTCTCTCTCTGCCTCTTGCTTACTTTATCTCCCTCTTTTTCTGGCCTTCCATCTCGTTCATGCTATTTCTATCTGAATATGTCTCTCTCCCTCCCTGCCAGTTTCTCTCTCATTCCCCTCCCCTGCCCCGACTCTTGTCCTGATGTTCCACACAGGGACTATGGGGCTGTCTTTTCTCCAGAGCTCATTCTCCCCAAGGGAGTTTGGGCTTAGAGGGGAGGGACTCGGAGAGAAGTTGTGGCTGTCAGCCAAGGGCACTGAGTGACCTCAGGGTTGGGGTTACCAAGGAAGACTGTTCAGTTCCCCAGTGGAGTCTGATTTCCAATTCAAGGTCACCCCATACCGTCCTAACTGCCAGCCTGGACGTGCCCACAGCCTAATCCATCCTTTTGTGTCCAGCATCCAGTGAATGGGTGTTGGCTTAAATCAGGTGGCCCATAAACAACTGTTTACAGTCCAGGCTCCATACAGACACCATGGGGTCCCACAGCTAGAAGAGGTGGGAAGATTCTTAGTATATAATCAGTTGCTCGCTTTCTCCTCCTCAAAGAAATGAGACTGGTGTTCAAAGGCAAGGGGTGATCTCGGATTGTGGAACTCAGTCCTGTCTTTTTAGAATCCTACTGAACATTACTCCGGATTTATCTATACAGTCTTGCTCTCAGTAACACTTATAAGGCCCTGGGCAGGGGACCAGGGACAGAGGGAGAGAGAAGTATCGCTTCTGCCATCCAGGGTCACAGTTCCATGGATAGAAGGACAAGTCACCAGGTCATTACAGTGCAGGACTAAGTGAATATGATCAAGCTATCGGGAGGACAGTCTGGCACTCCATGTCAAACATAAGAAGGCCCACACCTTGGACATGAACCTGCAGTCACACTTGGACGTGGGCCCCAAAAAATATGTGCAAAAATGCTCACTGCAGCATGGAATAGGAAGAATATCACTGGAAATAGCCCAGCTGTCCACAAACTGGGGACTGGGTAAATAAGTTCGGGGTACTCCCATGCAGTGGGCTGTTGGGCAGGTGTTTACAAAATAATAGCCACGTAGAATGTTCCCTAAGATATACTAGGGAGTGGAAAAAAGTAAAGGGCAAAACCAAAAACGAAAAACCACCATCAAGTGTGCTACCACTAATGCACTTCAGTGAGAGTTCAAAGGAGCACAGGTGCTTGGGCCGCAAGGAGCATTTCTGAAAGGATGTGCAAGAAGCTGCCAATAGCATGTGCCTTTGGGGAGCGGAACTAAGGGACCATGACCGGAGAAACGAGGGATTTGCTTTCCCGAAAAGTCATCTGTGCAGTTTGAATTTGTAACACGTGTGCACGTATAACCTGTTCAAAGGGAATTTGTGGAGACATTTCGCGTCTAGTACCCATCAGAGTTGTCAGCGAGGCAGCAGGGAGTCTGTGACGCCACAGACGATGCCCACCGCAGCCTCTGGGGTCGAGACAGGCTTCCGAGTTGCAGCAGCATCCGGACACGAACAGCAGGTAGAAGGGGAAGAAGATGCATAATCATTTCAGGCCCGGGGGCAGCACAGGGCGGTGGGGTCTGGGGACCGGAAGGAAGTTCCCTGTGGTTGGGGTGTAGCCAATGAGGGGTGAGAACACTTATGGTGTGAGTATGGGGAGGAGGTTGTGCAGAACTGGGACTGACTCCAAAGAGCTGTGGAGAAACACTGACTTCCCAAAGATCACTCCCCAAGGGAAGGATGGCGATCAGGCCTCTCTCTGACAGGGCTGAGTGAGGGTGAGGCCTGCCTAGGGCTGGGGCAGTCCTTAAGTGCTTCTTGAGGCCAGATGTGCTTCCCCCAGTGCTGTTCTGAGCCATTTTGAGGTGGCTAGAAGCTAGCAGGAGTCCAGAGTAGGCCTCTGAGGAGGCAGGCAGGCCCTGAGGTTCCAGTCCAGCTCGAGGGTTGGGAGTAGGGGGGCTGGGGACTCCCAGGGTGCAGAGGGAGCAGAAGCAGCCTGCAGCAGCCCCCAATCAGTCCAAGGTCTTCTCTGGCCTGGCCTGTCCCCTGGCATCTAAGCAGGGCCCCGGGAGACTGGCAAGAAAGAAGATGCCGTCCTTGACCTTCACATTCATAAAGCATCAATGAGACTTAACATAGTCCCAAAGATGAAAGAGTTGGGCGTGTTTGCCGGGATTTATATCAAGCCAGGAGATGGGGTGGCAGATGGTGAAAACTCAGGGAACAGAAACTAAATAACTGCAGTCACTTTCACTCTCTCATTCCATTCATTCATTCAATATTCACTGAGCCCCTGCTCTATGCCAAGCCTGTGCTGTGTTTATTTATTTATTTATTTGGGGCGTGGGGGTCGGGGTCTCACTCTGTTGCCCAGGCTAGAGTACAGTGACACAATTATGACTCACCACAGCCTTGACCCCTGGGCTCAGATGATCCTCCCTCATCAGCCTCCTGAATAGCTGGGACTACAGGCACATGCCACCGTGTTTTCTAGTTTTCTGCTTTGTTTTTGTTTTGTTTTGTTTTGTAAAGACAGGGTCTTGCTGTGTTTTCCAGGCTGGTCTCGAACTCCTGGGCTCAAGCAATACTTCCACCTCAGCCTCCCAAAGGGCTGGGATTACAGATGTGAGCCATCACACCTGGCCTGTGCTGTGTTTTAAGGGAACAAAGATGAATCTAATTTAGCCACTGTTCTCCAGAAGCTCAAGTTGTAAAGGGAGATGTATATACCCAGAGGTAGCCACATTACCACCAAAATCTCCATGCCAGCAAGCAGTACGTGTTGTGCACTGCACAAGTCCAGAAGGACACTTTCCACATAGACAACAGAGTTCATGGAGCTGTGTAGTGGCAGCCCTGGTGAGTGTGTCAGCATTCCCTGGCAGAAGGCCATAGAGTGTACCCTGGGGAACCAAGGCATTGAGTGATCAGAGCTCCTAAAGGATTAAGAAGGGCTTCATGGAGGAGGCGATCTTCAGCTAGATGCCGACAGGTTTTCAGGAATAGAAGATAAAGCTGTTCCAGGAGGAAGAAACCATGAAAGAAAAGGCCTGAAAGTTTGAAACGGTCTGATCCATTAAGGAATCAGCGAGCATCTGGAGTGGCTGAAGTGCAGCATCCAGGGACAGGGACAGCTGGGGAAACTCAGGACAGTTAGGAAGGAGGGAGAGGAGAAGGGTCCCACGGGCTCTTTGAAGTTACGCCAGGAGCGTGAATGTGATCTGAGGGTGGTGAGCAGCCAGGGATGAGTTTTCAGCAGGGAGTGGTATGGTTGACTGTGGGCTTGGGAAAGACATCTCTGTCAGCGCATGGGTGAAAATCATCCAGGTGAGAGGTGAATGGGGATGTGAATGCAGAGATGGCCACAGGGTTGAGTGGGGGAGAAAATACGAGAAACATCGAGAAGGCAGAAGCAACAGGACCAGAGACTGGTGTGACGTCAGGGCAGAGGTTGAGGACAAGTCCCAGGCCTTGGCTTTGGGGGCAGGGGATAACGCAGGGGGAGAAGCAGGTGAGGCAGGGGTGATGATGAGGCCAACTTCTGGGGCCTGTCATTCCTCGCATCTCCTACTCTTCCTCAAGGGCAGAGTCTCCTCCCCAGTGAGGTTTCTTCAGCCCCTGCAACCAGGCAGGCAACTCCCTGGATCACTCCACATTATGTTCATTCCTCCATACAGATCGATCCCTCATGCTGTGTTGAGAGTTTTATTTTATTTTATTTTATTTTGAGTTAGGGTCTCACTGTGTTGCCCAAGCTGGAGTGCAGTGGCATGATCACAGCTTACTGCAGCCATGACCTCTTGGACTCAGGCGATCCTTCTGCCTCAGCCTCTTGAGTAGCTGGAACTACAGGCATGCACCACCACACTCAGCTTTTTTTTTTTTTTTTTAACTTTCTGCAGAGATGGGGTCTTGTTATATTGCCCAGGCTGGTCTTAAACTCCTGGCCTCAAGTGATCTTTCTGCCTTGGCCTCACAAAGTCCTGGGATTACAGGCATGAGCCACCATGCCAGACCCGGAGAGTTCTTTATATGCCACTAGTCTGAGCCTAGGACACCTGGCATCTCATGCATCATCACAGCCTGCACTGCACCGAGTGTCAACTGTTGACGTTGTTACTTCTCTGACCTCCCTTAAGTCGTGTGAGGGAAGTGGTGGGGAAGGTGCAAGGTACCAGAGGGATGGGACCTTTCCTGTTCTCTCCCCAGGACATTTAGCCAACGCCACCACAGACCTCATGAAGCTGGACCACGAGGAGGGGCCCCAGCTCTCCGAGCCCTACCTTTCTAAACAGAAGAAACTCATGGTGAGTGCCTCTGGCTTGCCCGCCATCTTCCTGTGGAAAGGAGCCACTGGAGAAGCTGGTTCTAAGCAGAGGATTAGCTGATGATCTGAGATAGAGAAACCCTGGCTTACTTTTCTGGTCCTATCTCCTCTGCCATTGACTGGCTATTTGACCTCAGGCACTGCTGCCTGGGGCCTCAGTTTCCCCATGCCTTAGATTGTGTCCCTAGAAGGAGAGCATTGTATGAGATGAGGAAGTGATGAGGGAGAGCTTGAGAGGAGCCCAGGAAGGATGGGAGGGGGTGGGAGGAGGGCGTGGCCAAACCTCACCTGCCCCGCAGGAAGCTCTGGAGCATAACTGGCATCTTGAGGTGAGGGGCCACATTTTATACCGTGGATCAGCCAGTTATTGCTACAGATCATCTGGAGGAGGTGGGAGGAGTCACCGCCCAAGCATTTCTGGGCCGAGAGCAATTCTCAGGGAAGGGGCAGCTGTGAGCCATGGGACTGTGGTGAGCAGAGGAGGATGTTCTGCGGCTGTGGGCATCCTATGCCTTTGGGGGTACTTGGGGGCTGGGTGTGCAGAAGGGGCTTAGCAAGCCATCCCGGACATCCTGGCCAACACCTCTGCCTCTCTGGCTCTCACCTGTCCCTCCCCCAGGCCAAGATCTTGGAGCACGATGATGTGAGCTACCTGAAGAAGATTCTCGGGGAGTTGGCCATGGTGCTGGACCAGATCGAGGCAGAGCTGGAGAAGAGGAAGCTGGAGAACGCGGGTGGGTGCCAGCCCCGGGGAGGCGGGGCTTCCTTGCTGTGTCCTCACATGGTCTGGCCTCTCTGCTGAGCGCTCCTGGTGTCTTTGTGTATCCAAATTTTCTCTTATAAGCATAGCAGTCAGAATTAGGACCCCCTAACACCCTCATGTTAACGTAATCTCCCCTTTAAAGGTCTCATCTCCAAATGCAGTCACGTTCTGAGATATGGGCCTTAGAACTTCAAGTGTAAATTTTTTAGGGAAAGGAGACAATTCAGCCCACAAAAATGTACATATTTAACACTTCCTGTGCGTCAGGCACTGTTATAAGAGTTTCACAGATATCAATTCACTTAATCCCCACAACAACCTTAAGAGGTGGGTGACATTAGTGATCCCACTTAACAAATAAGGAAACTGAGGCACAGAAAGGCTCAGTAACTTTTCCAAGTTCACACAGATAGAACTGGTGGAATCTGGATTCAAACTCTGGCTCCTGGAATCTGAGTTCTTAGGCACTATTTCTGGGTTCTTTCCTGTTTGTCAGATAAGATGAGCACCTGCTTCCCAGGGCTGGTGGGTGGATCAGGAAGAAAATGCATGCAAGGGACTTAGCACCATGCCCGGCACACTGCATGGAAGTGGCAGAAAGATTGTGCTCAAGGGAGACGTAGGGTCTGACCTGGAGGGAGACCAGAGTGGATGGTCCTGGAACAGCTGTGGACACACATTCCTGGGGGATTCCTAGGCAGGCAGCTGCTGCCGACCCTGTCCTGAGGTATCCCAGAACTAGGCAGCATTGCACTGTCACATGGCTGGATGGTTGCAGTTGTTATGATGGAGAGGTGTGGACAGTTTTTGTATTCCTCTGGGGCTGAAGGAGGCAGCAGAGGCCCCGGGGAGGTAGCTCTGGGTTTTTAATGAGTGACAAGACCTCTGTTACTCATTCACCCACTGGGGTGCCCCTGAGCCTGCCTTGGGGGAGTGCTCACACCCTCCACTTCTCCCCTGTGGGCAAAGCCCAGGGTTGGGAGGTATTAAATCGTCACAATTAAGACCCCTTGAGTGGAGCCAGGTAACATTGTTACAGATTCCTTGCAGAGTTCACTTCACCCCTCTGTGTTCACCTGCAAAATGTGGATAATAGTAGACCCTAGCTCACGGCTCATTGTGGGATTTGTCAAGATGGTAGATACTGAGCACTTTACACGGTGCCTGGCTCCAGATAAAACATTCTAGAAGTGGCCGTTTTAAAAATAATGCCATTCATGTATTCAAATATTGACTGAACACCTACTAGGTACTAGGTCCTGGGGATAAAATCACGAGCAAAACCCAGACATTGTTCTCATTCTTGTGGGGTTTACAGTCTTGGAGAGGCAGGGGCGTGAGTCAAGTCATTGCATGAAGAAGCATAGAGTTACCAACAGTGGTAAGCATAAGTATAAAGAGTAAAATGATCAGAACACATTGGGAAAAGTGTCCCTGAAAAGGTGACAGTTACAGTGTGACGTGAAGGGTGAGAAGGACCTGGTGAAGAACCAGAGGAGGTGCAACCTAGATGAAGGACACCCTAAAGCGGGAGACTGGAGAGAGCTGGAGGGGATAAGGGGGAATCACAGGCATCAGACTCGTGGTTTAAATTGTATGCTAAGCACAGTGGGACCTCTGGAGGGTTTTGAGAAGGGGAATGTCTCGGTTTTTGCTTCATAACAAACCATTCCAAATCTGCGTGCCTTTTTTTTTTTCCTTGAGTTGGAATCTCACTCTGTCCCCCAGGCTGGAGTGTGTGTGCCTTCTAAAAAGAACCTTTCATTGGTTCATGATTTGTGGCTTGGTGGCCTGGGCTGAGCTCAGCTGGGACAGCTTTTCTCTGGCCCCCATGGGGACGGCTGACTCCACTCCTGCATTTGTGGCTGGGGGCAGTCCGCTGGCCTTCCTGGCTTACCTGTGGCTGGCTGGCTGTCAGCAGGGCCAGTGGAGGGGACTGCATCACGTGTGGCTCATCATGCAAGCTTGCTCACATGGTGTTGGAGGCAGGATCCCAGGAACAACAAGAGAGCAAGCTCCAGTATGCAAAGCCCCTTTGAGCCTCTATTTGTGTCGCATTTACTGAAGTCCCATGGGCTCAAGCGAGTGATGTGGCAAAGCCCAGACGAAGGATTTAACTCCTCCTCTCAGTGGCAGGAGCAGCAAAGCCATATTGCCAAGGGGTGGCCATTTTGCAATATACACGGACTGAGGTGGTCTGGCATCACCCTGAGGGGTTCTCTGCTACTGTGTGAAAATGGCTTCCAGGGAGACAGAGGGGGAGGCCGCAACAGCCACCTGGGCAGGAGGTGGTGGTGATGGGGTGTTGGAATGGGATGTTGGAGGAGATGGGGTGTTGGGGTGAGATGGCAAGGTGTGAAGGGACTTGAAAGTCGTTTGGAAATGAAGTGGACAGGAAGTTGCATGAGGGTAAGGATGAAGAAAAGAGGAGCCAAAGATGACCCCTGGGGTTTGGGCCTGAAACAGTACCGTTTCCTGACACGGGCAGGGGAGTCTGAGAGTTCCATTTGGGAAACAGTGTATTTGAGATGCCTTTGACGCTTCCAAGAGAGGATGCCACGTAAGCCATGAGAGGACTAGCCTAATTCTCAACGGAGAAGTCAGGACCTGAAGATGGAAATGTGGGAGTGCTTAGCCTACACGTGGTGGTTGAAGCCAGATAATGGGAAGCTTCATCTGGTGCAAGTGTGGAAAGAGACAAAGAAAGGAACCAAGACCAGCTGTGTTTGTTATCTTCTGCTCCCAACCTTAGGGGCTTACGTTTGAATAGCGTCACACATTTTTCGGGGGTCAGGAATGCCGGAGTAGCTTCGCTGGGTGGCTCTGATTTAGGGTTGTGGACCTGGGTGCAGTCAAGCTGTCAGCTGGGGCTGCAGTCATCTGAAGGCTTGACCGGGGCTGGAGGAGCCACTTCCAAGCTGGCTCATTCACGTGGTTGTTAACTGAGGCCTCAGCTCCCACTGGCTCTTGACAGGAGACAGTCCTCACCACACGGACCTCTCAGTAGGCTGTGTGGGTTTCTCGACAGCATGGCAGTGACTTTCCCTGAGCAGGGATCCCGGAGAAAGAGGAAGCAGATGCCCTGTGTCTTCTGTGACCTACCGTTGGAAGGCACTCTGCCCTGTCGGTCATTAGAAGTCACGAAATACAGCCCTTACTCAGGGCGGGGTGGGGGGGTGCAGGAATTGGGCTTCACTGAAGGGAGGAGTATATCAAGTAGTTTGTGGGCGTACCTTAAAACCACTACAGCTGCCCCGAGTTCGCCCATCGTGGGGAGGGGGGAAGTAAAGGTGAAGGAGCTGGCATGGCCAGCTGAGGAGCGGCCAGGGAGGCAGAAGGACTGTCATGTCATGGGAGCCAAAAAAGGACTGTGTGTTCAGTAGGCAGAATGGTGTCAAATACTGATGGAAGACTGAGTCAACCCGGAGAGGGAAGTGTTCCTTGGGTTTTGTGCCATGGATGTTGGCCATGACCGAGAGCAGCTTTACTGGAATGTGGGGTGAAAACCAGATTGGAATGGAGGAGTGTGGAGGGGCACAGAGAAGGGAGTGCTGAGGAGGACGTGGGCGACAGGAGTTGTTCGAAGAGAGAGGACACATGAGTGTGTTTTCATGCTGGTAGAAATGACGCAGGAGAAGGAGGGATTGATGATGCAGACAGCCATGCAAAGGCCCTGGAGACTGAGGGTCTGCAGAAAACAGAGGGACCCGCAGACTGGGCACATCGGAGAGGGCGCAATAAAGGATCTGTCTACAAAGGCGTGGACAGGAGGCAGAGGCAGGGCAGGGACACCACAAGGCGGTGAAAGCAGATCTGGGAACCTGGGCAGAGGTTGTGAGGAGGGCCACCTAGCGGGGACTCTGCCAGGCTGTGGTGACCTGCAGGAAGGAGCCGAGGGAAGTAAGTCCGACCTCACTGAGGCCTCCTCTCCTCTCCCACCTCTGCTCCCAGCTCTCCCAACGCCACAGAGCCAGAGGGCATGAGCCCCGCTGGGTGGGGTAGCCATCAAGCTGGCTTCTGGGGTACAGAACAGCATGGAAAAGCAAGAGAGGATCCAGAAAGACAAACTGAAGCGATGTGGCCTAAGGACAGGTGTGGAGGAGAGCAGGCCTGGGAACAGGACAGGGCTCTCAGCTGTGCCATCCAGGATGGCAGGAGGCAGAGGCACTGCCAGTGGGCTTGTGGGCTTCGCAGGGGGGATGTGGGCTTCCCAGAAGCTGCTGTCTCCTTAACGAAGCAGGAGGCCACGTCATCAGCTGAGAGAGACTTGGGAGGGCATGAGAGGAGTGTGGAGAGAAGATGGAAAGATACCCCCTAGGTTCACCAGGGGCGGAGGCACTTGAGACGTATAATAGGTCCAGGCAGCACTGAGTGTTCTCCTGGGCTTTGCAGTCCTAAATTTAAAGTATAGCTGGTCAGCTACATCATGAGCAGACCCAGAGAAGGGCCACTGGGATTTCTCCAGGCCTGGGCTTGCCAAGAGAGCTGAGGACTGGAGGCAGAAGAGGGGAAGGGTAGGAGACAGCGAAGGGTGACACACCAGGTAATGCAGGTAATGGCTTGTGGTCACACATGGCAGGCTATCGGCACAGACACAGGCACAGACGTGGCCATAACAATGACTCACACATATGTGCTTATAAGTGTGGCAGAGGTGAGCAGCCAGACGCATGTGGGTGTATGCTGTCCTCCCACGTATGCTGACCCCACACCACGTGGTGAGATGCCCAAGTGCACGCATACCCGCGGCATGTGTGCAGTCACCCGCAGGGGTCTGGATGGGCAGACAGGGAGCTGGGCAGGATGCAGATGCTGGACAGATGTGCACAGGCCCAAGGAAAGAGTGCACTTCCTGAAAGGGGCCTGAATGTATGTGAGATACACGCCACGTCCGTGCTCATTCGCCTGTGGAAAGAGGTAGCATGATCGAGGGGTTACAAGCACAGACTCTGGAACCAGATGGCCTGGGTTCAAATCTCGGCTCTGCCTTGCCGAGTGGCTGTGTGGCTTTGACTAGCAGTGTGGCTTTGACCAAGTTACTTAACTTCACTGTGCCTCCATTGCCTCATCTGTAAAGTGGGGGTAATAACAGCACCTGCTTGGTAGAGCTGTTGTGATGGCCAGGGCTGTGGGTGTGTCTCCTGCTCCCCAGTTCTTCCTTTTCCCCTTCCTTGCTGCCCAGTATCTAAACCTTGCAGGGTCCCAGGCTCAGCCCCTGGCCCTATTCTGAGAGCCGTCCACACCTGCTCCCTTGTTGGCATCAGGCAGTCGTAGCTGGGGCCTCCCACCCCTTGACCCTGCCTCCTCTCGCTGTCCCTCACCCCATCACATCTCATCCACTCCATACCCAGCAGCGGTTCCCTGGCCAACCACTGGGATCACTTTCCCACCTGTGCATTTGAAAGCCCTTTATACCGGCTTTGCTAAATCTCGACCTGGCTCAGTCCGACTCTTCACACACTCAGCGCCTGCACCTGTGAACCCACAGGTGCCGGTGGGACTCACCTCAGTTCACTTGCCTTAGACAGCCATGACGCTGCCCAGGCTTGCTGTTCCACTCCAGATAACTCCCTGCTACCGCCTCCTTGCTCCTTGACCCTCCAGCCGCCGCCCCGCAGCCTCATGTGCAACTGATCACTTCTGTCTGTCACTGAGAAAATCAAGGCATTAGGAAGAGATCATCACTCTGGTTCCCACCCACCAGTATTCGTGTCTCCACATATACCATGCATCTTTGTTAAATCACTTCTTACTCAACATCTCTGAAATTGGAATTTTTAAAAATTATTAATCAATATTTTTTATTTTGGTATTGTGGGGTACAGTTAAGGGTTAGGTATACAAATATGTTTCGTTCAGGCACCCTTGTTGATAAGGGGTGTCTCCCCATCCCCAGACAGATATAAATTGGAATGTTTTTACAGACAATAGCTTAATTCTCCTCTCTTCCTTTTGGGTGGGCGTCTTACATTTGATGGTGACTTGATGGCATACGGAAGCACACACGCCCTCTTGCTACTAGGGGTGAACAGTCCTTGAGCTAGCGAGGACCAGTGCCTTCGAGAGCACCAGTGCCCACCCACCTCTCCCCTCAGGGATGCCATGTCACTGGTCTCTCACTCTTCCCTGCGGGATCCCTCCTCACAAGTGACTCATTCCCAGGCATGTGTGTCTTTACTCCTCCCAGCTTGTAAAAAATGCTCTCGACTTGCCTCACGTTGCTGGTGTGTCCTTCCCACCCTAGCAAAATTTTCTTTGAAAGATGTAGGGTACAAGTCAGGATTAGGTACATAAGGGGTCTACGTGCAGGTGATGTCTGGGCCCCTCATTGGTCCTCGTTTCCCCTGGTTTAGGATCAGGTGTTATGCGTGCTCTCACCCCTGGCTGATCCCTTTCTCACAGTATTGGTGGTGATAAATGTTCAGGACCCACTTATGAGTGAGAACATGTGGTACTCTGTTCTTTGTTTCTGTGACAGATCACTGAGTATGATAGACTCTAAATCCATCCAGGTTGCTGTGGAATTTATAATTTTGTCCTTCTTTATGGCGGTGTAATATTTCATCGTGTATATGTACATTTTTAAAAATCCAGTTCACTACTAATAGGCAGCACGGTTTCTGCTCCTTTCTTAAAGAAAAAATGCACAGAGATTCTGGTGGGTAGTAGCACCCAGCTGGAATTCCATAGCGTGTGTTTGTTTCTGTTATGCTTACTTTCATCATTGCAGATAGTCCATGGCAAATGATACGATTGATGATATCGTTTCTTTTCTTTCTTTCTTTTTTTTTTTTGAGTTGGAGTCTCACTGTCACCCAGGCTAGAGTGCAGTGGCACACTCACAGCCACCGCAGCCTCGACCTGCTGGGCTCAGGTGATCCGTCCAAGTCGCTGGAACCACAGGCGCATGCCACCACACCTGGCTAATTTTTTTTTTTTTTATTGTAGAGATGCGATCTTGCCAAGTTGTCCAGGCTGATCTTGAACCCCAGGACTCAGGCAATCCTCTTACCTCAGCCTCCTAAAGTGCTGGGATTACAGGTGTGAGCCACCACATCCGGCGATATAGTTTCTTTTTTCATTCATCTGTTGGTCAGTAAGGATTTTTTGAGCACCTACTGTGTGCCAGGCACAGTTCTAGGTGCAGGGGATACAGCTATAAACAAGACAGCCCAAAGCCCCTGCCCACATGGAGCTTCCACTCGAGCAGAGGATGACAAACAATGGAATCAAAGTCAAGATGTAAAATAGGCAGTGCCATCATGGTGCCAAGTTCTATGAAGGAATACAAAGCAGGGGTGGGGATGGTGACTGTTGGGAGTGGGGGGTTCCATTTTTAAATTGGTAGTCCGTGAAGGTCCCTGAGATCATAATGTTTGAGCAAAGACCTGAAGGTGGAGGAATGAGCCCTCTGGCTATGTGGGAGACTATTCCAGGCAGAGGCAACAGCAAGTGCAAAGGCCCTGTGGTGGGAATGTGCTCAGCATGAGGAACCACAGGAGGCTGGTAGTGGCTGAAGGAGTGAGTAAGGTGGGTAGAAGCAGGATCTGAGGTCTGAAAGATACCTGGAGGCCAGATCTTGTAGGCCTCACGAGGCTTGGATGGGCTCAGCTGTTACTCTGGCCACCAGGAGACCTTCTTTGAGGGTTCTGAGAAGAGAAGCGAGATACACTGACAAGTCTGAACAGGATTCTTTTGGCTGCTGTGCTCACAATAGACTCCAGGGCTCAAGGGCAGAGGCAGGGCGATCTTGCAGGGGACATTGTAGCAACTTAGGTAGGAGGTTGTTTGCATAGGTTGGTAAAGTGGAGGTGACATCAGATTCTAGATGTGTTTTTGAAGATAACACTGATGGGCCTTGATGACAGATTGTATGGGAGGATTAAAGAAAGACGCCTTCGCGGTGGTACTGACCGGAACGGTGAGATGCCATTACTGAGAGAGGGGGAGGGGGTATGTGACAATCAGGAATTCCGTTTTGGACATGTTGAGTTTGAAATGCAGCAGAGTTGTCAAAGGGACAGTTGAATGTGTGAGTCTAGAGTTTAATACATATATTTGCACATTAGAAGCTGGTGTGGTGGCTTATGCCTGTAATCCTAGCACTTTGGGAGGCCAAGGAGGGAGGACCATTTAAGGCCAGGAGTTCAAGACCAGCCTGGGCCACACAGAGAGACCTCCCCCTACCCCCACTCTACAAAAGATTTTTTAAAAAATTAGCCGAGCATGGTAGCGCACACTTGTAGTCCCAGCCACTCAGGAGACTGAGTGAGGCAGGAGGATCACTCGTGCCCAGGAGTTTGAGGCTGCAGTGAGCTATGATCGAACTACTGCACTCCAGCCTGGGCGACAGAGTGAGACCTTGTATCCAAAAGAAATCAAGTCAGTTGGCTTAAAGACAAAATAATAATAGAGGTAGAATAAGGATATGGCCGACATCATTGAGTTGTATGGGCGAGAATGACTCTCGGGAAACACGACAGCAGCTGGCCGACGGCAAAGGAGCTAACGGGAGTGAGTGCTGGGGGCGGCTGAACCCCCACCTCCTGTCTCTCCTCCTCTAGGGCAGAAATGTGAGCTGTGGCTCTGTGGCTGTGCCTTCACCCTCGCAGACGTCCTCTTGGGAGCCACCCTGCACCGCCTCAAGTTCCTGGGACTGTCCAAGAAATACTGGGAAGATGGCAGCCGGCCCAACCTGCAGTCCTTCTTTGAGAGGGTCCAGAGACGCTTTGCCTTCCGGAAAGTCCTGGGTGACATACACACCACCCTGCTGTCGGCTGTCATCCCCAATGCATTCCGGCTGGTCAAGCGGAAACCCCCTTCCTTCTTCGGGGCGTCCTTCCTCATGGGCTCCCTGGGCGGGATGGGCTACTTTGCCTACTGGTACCTCAAGAAAAAATACATCTAGGGCCAGGCCTGGGGCTTGGTGTCTGACTGTCGGTGTCTCTGTGCTGTGTGATTCCCCACGAGCCCTCAGTAACTCACTGTCTCATGAACACTTGGACAGCCATCCCTACCCCTTGTTCCACGTAATTCTATTGTCTGTGTGAAAACATTCCATAGTTTAGAAGTAGATGTTGCCGATGCCGTGACTTGAGGCCACGGCGCTACTGACGGAGAGAAAGAGAAAGTGAGAGAGAGAGAGAGACAAACAAAACACGAATGCCTTCTCTTTCGATTCAAGGTTTCAAGATGGAACTGTGGGGACTGGTTAGGATCCGAGGTGAGTCCCAGGCCATTTCATCCTCCAGGGCCAGATTCTGGGAGGTGCCGGGGGCTCCGAGGGCCTGACCCCTCGCCTCCCCTTCCCTCTCACCCAGGGAACTCTTCCGCAGGACAAAGCCAACATCAAGACTTGACTCTTCTAACCGGTACTCCAGGTGGGGCTGGAGAACCAGAGACCCCCTGGGAGGCCCCTGAAGATCAGAAGGGGCTCCATGCTTCTCCTGGACGTGGACTGAGACAGCACTGGCTCAAGCCCAGGCAGTGGCACCCACAAACCAGGCTGTGATTGGGAGCAACACCATGACCTCACCCCTTCATCCCCTCCTGACTTGGCCAGTGTGTTTGGTTTGGCTTTTTAAAATTTTTATTATGGTAAATATGGGAGTCTCACTATGTTGCCCAGGCTGGTCTCAAAACTCCTGGCCTCAAGTTATCTTCCTGCCTCAGCCTCCCAAAGCACTGAGATTGCAGGTGTGAGCCGCTGCACCCAGTTGGTTTGGCTTTAATAGGAGCCTCTAAAGGCAGCCTTCCTCCCCTTCCTACCTTGGGTTGAATTTTCCCACCCTGTGGGGTGGGACTTTCCATGACAGCCATGTTGACCTTCTCTCGGAAGGTCAATCTCAGCCCAAGAGCGGTGGGTAGAGGGTCCAGAGGTGGAGAACCTCAGGTCCCTCTCCCAGCCTCTGTCCAAGCCCTCTTCTTCAATGCCCACCCTTCCCAATGCTCCCCGTGCCACACGGGGTGGGGTATCTGCGTCCGTGTTGCACCTGGTCGGGTCTCACTCTCCTGTGCCTTTTGCATGTTGGGAAAGGGTCTGGGTGTCGCTGCCGCTCATGCTTAGAAACCACTGAAAGCCCCCAATAAAGCATCCAGGAGGAGCAGTTGCTTTTCATTTCTAAACCTGTGTCGTCTATCCCGTTCTCACTTCCAAAGGTGGAGCCAACAGGTGGAGACGTGGGGTTTCAGACTTAGTTCTCCACAAGGGCAAGCAAGAGTTGAGTTTGGATCTCAAGCCACTGGCCGGCAGCTGGCTTCCAGACAGGCTCTCCAGAGCTCTGACCTTAACACAACCCACCACACTTGGGCACAGCACTTCACAGTCTCCAGAGCACGCTCACAACCATTTGCTCACATTAACCTACACATGGACCCAGGGTACCCAGGGTGCATCCTCTCGCTCCAATTTCCCAGAGAAAATAATGTCTTTAAATGTCCAAAGAACATTAAATCAGGAGTATAATTTATAGAATGTTATGCATAGTTTTATTGCTTTTGCAAAAAAATACAAGAATTGCACATTTTTTTCCCATCAAAGTAAAAAGAAAACTTAGTCAAGGTCAAGGCAAGGCCAAGGTAGAACTTAGAGACCACAGATGCTGTCTGGTATGACCACACCTTTGGCAACTTGAACATTCACGCAGACCCTCGCTACTCTGCATTAAACTTCCACTCAAGCAATGACATTGTACCTGATCCTAACTGGGACAACTGCCCTCCCAACAGAAGACGAGTCATGCTCTCCATACATGAGACATGCCATGCCCATCGCTCAGTGATATCACTCTGGATGACACTAGATTCTCTCCCCATTCCTCTTCTGCCTCTAGGATCATAGTCATACCTCAATATACTATGTACAGATTAAGACACCGATTGAACAATCACCAGTATCCTTCATGTTCTGTTATACAGACACATAACAAGCAAAGAAGAAAACACTCATTGCGGCCATAGTCCTCATTTCTGTCATTGATTCCAAGGCCATGGCTGATGTTTGTAATTTCTCTTTTTCCCACTAGCTCGCCTTATGTTCTTTTGACCCTCAGCGAGCACCTCAGCTGCGTGGGGTGTTTCACCTGGTGACACGAATCAGACTTGGGTGGTCCTTGGGTTGCCATGATGGTCCCTTCCTACTGGATGTGGAAGTACCATGGGGCACCCCAGAGAATCCTCTGGTTTCCATTCGTAGTCTTCCATGCTATCTCCATGCAGGAGCAACCTGCTCCCTCTGGAATGGGAGGGGTTCCGTGTGATCAATCTGCCACTGGATGGCTCATTCCTATGGCGATTGGTGCCACACCAGGAACTCTGCCGGCTGGGCACTCCATGGTGGCATTACCTAAGCCAGTCTTGATGGCCTCTGGTCAATGACCATGGCTCCTCTCTATAGGAGCCCACTGAGCACGCACTGGGGTAGCTGGGGAGAGAGAATGACTGACATCCACAGGACAACCATCTCACCTGCTGGTTTATTGAACAACAGTCTCCTCTGCTGTGGGGAACTTTGGGGGGGACATTTGCAGGAGACACAAACACCCTCCCATTCTGTGCCCATGGTCAGAAGTCCATCTGTTGGGAGCCGGCCACGGAGGCCCACTGAGCATTAGGGATCAGGAAGGGCCGTTGACCCCGAGACCACTAGGATGCGTTCGGGAGCTATTGACCCCATTTCTTCCCCCTTTCTACTCAGCACTAACCAGATTAAGCTCCTGTGAGCTCAAAACATAAAAACTCTGAGACCGGGACGAACACAAGCTAACTTTAGAAGCTCATTGCTCCCATTCTTCCGTAAACTGCAGTTTTGGCTTTCACACAACTTATAATTCAAACTCGTGTCACATCTAAGAGCCTTAGTATTGGTCACAGGCTTCTGGGTCATGATCTTAGGATTTATTGAAGGTGTAAATTGTAGAATATAGTTTTAGAAGACAGCCATTTTGTTGAAAGAATGCGGCTGGGTTACTTGCAGGTAGCCCACTGTGAACTTTGGACTGGGCCACATTCCAAACATTCTGGGATGGGTCACTTTCGTTTGTAAAGTAAATACTTAAGCTTCTATAGAATTGTTTAACTTGGCATAAATCAATCAGCTTAGGATGAAAAAGGTTTATGGAATATGTCAGTCACAGATTAGGTTATCCTTTGTTATGGAATTTTAAGATTATCATATGAAAAAGGTTTAAAGGCAATCATTGATTAAGTTTTCATGGATTAAGGTTTCTGGTGGGTGGGGGACGCCCCTCCCACATCTGACTTTGTGTATAAAAGACCCGTTGTAATTCCCAATAACACACATGGCTTCTGCACTAGACAGACGTCCAGTCTCTTTCTCTCTCTCTCTCTCTCTCTCTCTCTCTCTCTCTCTCTCTCTCTTTCTTTCTCTTTCTTCTTCCCCCCAGTCGCCGACACTGTCTCCACCTTTGGGGTACCCTGAACCCGGCTGGAGCTGGTCTCCAGCATCCATCCATATACAGGAAGTCCCCAATGTAGGAATGAGTTTGTTCTGAGAGCGTGTTCATAAGTCCATTTGTTGTCAGTACAAAAAAATTAGCCTAGGTACCCAATTAACATAATTGGCTATATAATACTGTATGTATTTAACAGGCTATGCTGACACCTGGTTGAGAGAAATAATACATAAAAAACATGTGTGCATGGTTAAAGTTCGTAACTTAAAGGCTCATGTGTAGGGGACTTACTGAACCTTCTCTCACAGTTCCCAGTCCTCCAGTCTTGTTCTTCCCATGTTCCTGATCATCCAGTCAAACCATCCATCCATAAACACATAGAGATTCCTATTTTGGAGTGTCCATCTTCATCTTATAAAGTGAACAACCAGATAGATGTACTGCTCAAAATTCTGTTCACAGAAGGGGTTTTTCCTCTGCCATGTCTTGCAGGGCATTCACATAGTGCTGCAAGCATCCATGTCCATTTGGGTCCAGGCCTGAGTTTTTTCTCCCTCCATCAACTGGTCATAGAGGATCTACCACGAGGCCTCGGGTTGGTGGAGGAAGAGGAAGCAATGTGGTGGATGGATGCCATTGCCTGCAGGATGTTGTCTTCATTTGGTGACAGAACGCTGCTGTTCATGACTCGTTCTATGGCTTGAACGAGTGGCAGCCAGTTCAAGATGGGGAGCTCAGGTGGCACAGTCACCTTGCATCTCAAGATCAGGTGTGCAGGCTCTTCCAGGTCCCACTAGCAAGCCAGGTGCCATTTCTCAAAGAACAATGATTTGCAAAAGAAGACATGACTTTGTTCCGAGTCCTAGGGTGTTCACTGAGAATTTCCTACTAGGGGTTGCTGGAAGCTCCATACCCTGTGTCTCCTGCAGATGATTTAACACCACTGGATCTGCTGGGTCCTGAGGTTCAATGTGCAGAGCATCTTATGCTGCAGCCTGAATCTGCTCTGGGACCCACTCACAACTAGAGGTCTTACGGGTTACTGACTAAATAGTTTGGAGCAGCGCACATGAATGGGTGTATGTCTGTCGCCTCCCAAATCCAAAGAGGTGCCACCAATTGTTGTGACTTTTTCTTGTCTTCCTTTCTTTCTCTCTATCTCTCTTTTTTTTTTTTTTGAGTTGAGGAGGTCTTGCTCTGCTGCCCAAACTGGCATGCAGTGGCATGATCACAGTTCACTGCAGCCTCAATCTCCTGGGCTCAGGCAATCTTCCCACCTCAGCCTCCCAAATAGCTGGAACTACAGGCTTGAGCCACCACACCCATGTAAGGCCTTTTTCTTAGTAGTAAGTGCAACAACTTGTCTATCACTTGGAGGGGATAACCTGACATTTTCTAGAGTCCTGGGTTCCTAAAAACTCTACCAAGGTGCCAGGAAGTGACGTGTGCATGGCGTGTATATATCACTCCTGGCATGCATGGATCTCATGGAATCATCTGGTGTAGTTGGTACTTCCTGCCT